GAGAGAACAATCATGGGAGAAGGAAGGTCTGCTTATACACAGGGAGACAGCTCAGGGGGCAGGAGAGTATGGAGGGATGGACACTGGGAAGAGGTGACTATGGGGAGGAAGTGGGAGGAGAGCTGTTGCATTGTGGTAAACTGTGGTCAGTGACATGAGACAAGGTATATGTGAACTTCTGTATGAAAAGTGAATTTACTCTGTAAATCTTCAGCCAAATCAAAATAAAATTTAAAAAAAATGTTTTTTTTACTTTGAGCCTAATTTAATGTACAAATTCTCTTTCTGTTGTCTCTTCATTTTCCTTCATCACTTGCCTGTGAAGAACCTGGGCATTTGAGCTGCAGAGTTGCCCCTAGTCTGGTTTTTGCTGCTTGCACCTTCCAGCACCCTTCCATTTGGCTCTCCATCCTTGCATTCCCTGGACATGGCTCCCACGTTCTTCGGACATGACACTACTCATATATTTTTTTTTCATAAAGTGTTGCTTCACCACGTGCCTCTCCTTTACAGAAGCTTGTAAGCTGTCGGAGCAGGACCATGTGCTCCTCCACCCAACAAAAAGTTCAGAGACCACATCATTTCTGCCTTTGCATGACCATAACTCCTAAGTAGAGATTTGAATCTGTGGTAGAGCATGCTGGTGATTGTCCACGATTGACTGTAAAGGTTATGCTACAAAGTCTTCACGTTGTGATGTGACCACTGTTTGCTTTCTGCTCTCGTACCTGCCTTCATGCTACTTCCTCTGCCATCACTTCCTCTGGGAAGCCTCCCCAGACTCGTTGATTTGGGAGTGATGAACCTCCTTGTGGTCCTGTAGCCTTGTGATTTTCCCTTACAGTTACCCTGTTTACACCAACTGTAACTGCCTGTTTATCTGTCTGCCCTCTCCCTCTCTCCACCACTAGACCTCAGTTTCCCTAGTCTGCACTGTCCAGCGTATTAGTAGGCTATCAACAGATATTTGTTGAATGAATGAAATAAACCCACACTTGTCCATGTCATTCTCACCCCTGCACCCTGCTGCTTCCTGGTTGACTCCTCTACTGCACCATCTATTACCCTGGGCTGAAATGTACATGTACACAGTGGGCTCTTTAGGGACCAACTCTAAACCCCTTCTCTACCTCCATCATCTAAGGGCACTTGGTATCGAGCTCAATAAATAAACTTTTGGTGTTACTTTTCTCCCTGACATCATTATTGAAGGATAAGAAATCTACTGTTTGCATAAAATTAAGATTGTTAACGTGAAACTTATTTCTGTGCTCAGTTCAACTTCCTCTTTTAGAATCATTTTTGGGAAGTGCAGCAAAGTTCCTTTTCATATTTCCTCACCAGAGTGGCCTTTGGAAAGTTTGGGGTCCCCCATTCTTCCCATGAAAGCATGCAGTGTATCTGCCATACCCAGGGCCACTTTCCGGGGCTCTCCCCAATGTCGGGGAGCATGAGACTAAGCACTCATAAGCCTGCAGTTCGGGCTCCACACTCACGGTCCACCTCTCCGTCCCTACTCCTTCTTGATTCTTAGTGTTGGCACTTCACCCCAGGCCATGTTTTGACAGCACCCATTTATGGGATCATTTCCTTGAAAACACACTGACTTAATCCCACTGTTTTGTCCCTCTCCTGAGTAGCCAAGCCTCTTTGCAGAGCTTTATGGCACTTGAAAAGGTTTTGCCTGTCAAGCATGGTTTCACCCTCCCTGTTTACCATGGAGGGACTGCTGGCTTCCTGCCGGCTGCACCTTGCTGCAGCCTCAAAGCGGTTGTTTCTTCCGAAGGTATAATTGTGGGTCATCTGAATTCTGGACATCCTCAGGGAAGGAGCTGATAACACCCAAACGGCCAAGGTGTCAGGGATCAAGGAAGCTAATGATACATATATGTGCCCACCGAGGGAGCTCCACGGTGTGTCTGCTTCGATCTGCACCCCTTCTTGGTCCTGAGCCAAGGTGGTATTGTCTGCAGCAAAGCATTCAAGGTCAAAGAGTGAGTGGGGAGCCGAAGGCCCTTGATCCTGGTTGTGGGTGGCACACACAGCAGCCTACCGGGGCCAGGGCTGGTTTCTGATCACGGCCCATGCTTTTCCTGGCCCTCTACCTTTAAGGTCTGGCTCTTCCCAGGATTCCTGTTACGCTCAAGAAAGTTCTTTTCCATTCTTCTGGTGTTTCTCAACAGGGGCACTGATAGTGTTGGGCCGGACAGTTCCTGTCCCTTGCTCCCATTTTTTATGACAAGCAAAACACACCTAATTTCTGATGTTCCCTAGTGGACTTATGTCCTCCCTGGTTGAGAAACTCTGTGCCTTCGGAGATAGATGCATAAAATGTCTGCCATCTTGAAAATCAACCACTGGACCCCAGAGCTCTCTGCTCCCCTTTAGAGGCAGCCTTCTCTGAAGAGTTGCTTCCACTTCCTCTGTGTACTTTTTTACTTCACATTCATTGGGGATCCTTCCACTGCCACCAAGTGTTCACATTCTAAAAGAACCCAAACATGGAAGGGGCGATATAATGCAAGTGATTAGGAGTGTGGGTTGGGGGACTCCCACTGCTTAGTTCAAATCCATTTGTGCAGCTGCTCAGCTGTGTGACTTTGGGCACACTACTTGACTTCTCTGAATCTCAGTTTTATCCCATTAGGATAGTTTTGGAGGTAAATGGGTTACTTCAAAGTACTTAGCCACTCTACTTAATTCTCTCAGAATTCTATTAGGAAATAAAAGGTATGTACATACTGGGAAGGGAGAGACAAACCTGTCTTTTTCCATGAATTGTCTATGTAGAAAATCCCGAACAACTGACAACGAAACTCCTCGAGCTAAGAAACAGAGACAAGATCAATATACAAAAGGCAACTGCTTTCCTATATATAGGGAGTGAACAAGTGGAATTTTAAATTAAAAAACACAACATCATTTTCATTAGTACAGAAAATGAAATGCTTAGGTAAAAATCTCAAAATGTGTATAAAAATAAATGTCGGAAGCTGGGTGGACTTTGGGTGTCATCAAGAGAATGGCTGGTTTGCTTCTTTTCTGCCATCCTTAGCATCAGGTTGGTTTTGAGCAGAGCCAAGTCATTGCTTGTTGCTCTTCTTTGCAGGCCTGGCGAAAGCGCTGGTTTGTCCTGCGGCGGGGCCGCATGAGTGGCAACCCTGACGTCTTGGAATACTATCGGAACGCACACTCCAGCAAGCCCCTGCGTGTGATCGACCTGAGGGACTGCACAGTGTACAAGCACGCTGGCCCCGGCTTTGTTCGCAAAGAATTTCAGAACAATTTTGTGTTCATCGTCAAGACTGCTTCTCGTACATTCTATCTGGTGGCCAAGACTGAGGAAGAGATGCAGGTCTGGGTGCATCGCATCAGTCAGGTCTGCAACCTCTCCCACCCGGAGGATGGTGCAGGTAGGAGTTGATGCGGGGCTCCTGCTCGCTGAGGGGTCTCTGCCCTGCTCTTCTCTGGGAAGCTGCTGCAGGAGAATGGGCCACGGGGTAGACCTCCTCGTTTGTGTCAGAGCTGGCCCCCCCATGCCCCTCATGCACAGCACATTGCAATTCTTAGAGACTGCACTCTTTGGCCTGCTTTAAAGGTTCAAGTCCAAATGTGAGAGGTCAAGAAAGAGTCCCTCCTGTTTCTTCTCAAGGTTTCTGCAAGGTTTTCTCAGGGTCTCTGCAAGGGCAAGTGGCTGTAAGTTTGCTTTGGGCTGTTTCTGGACAGTGGGAACAACTTAGTCCTGAGGGGAGAAGTCTACATAAAGTACCCTTAGTGCCAGTGGGGTTCAGTTGACACTGCGGTCACTGCCTGGACACTAACAGCCAACAGGATTGTGCAGACCATTAGTCACGGGCTCAACTCCACCATCCCTAAGTGCGCATGTATGTAACTGCACATGTGCTTGATTGCCCTTCCTCCCTCCCCCTCCCTTAGACCTCCCTCCACCCCCAACCGCGCATGTAACATATCAGGCTTGCAATTCCGTTTCCTTCAAGGATTTTCTGGTTGAGCCCTGCAGCATCATTGCACTACACGCCTTGATCGTCAAACCATGGGCTTTCGAATCTGGTTTCTTTCAGTCTCAGTCTAGGAGATAAAACCTTGCTCCTAATCCCATGCTTTACAGTCATTTCACATTTAAAAGGTTACTGTATGTTTAAAAGGTAAATTTAGCAAGGTTTTTAAGCAATTAACTCGTTTTTAGCACCTTCTAAGTGACATGCATGTAAGGAGCTCTGTGGTTAAAGCACTCACCTGCTAACCAAACAATCAACTGTTGGAACCCAAAGGCCACTCTCTGGGTGAAAGATGTGGCAGTCTGCATCTGTGAAGACTGACAGCCTTGGAAACCCTGTGGTGTAGTTCCACCCTGTCCTCTAGGGGTGCTGTGGGTCAGAATTGACTCCACGGCAGTGGGTGTGGTTTGGGCTTTGCATCTGTGAAGATTGATAGCCTTGGAGATCCTGTGGGCAGTTCCACTCTGTCCTCTAGGGGCGCTGTGGGTCAGAATAGACTCCAGGCTGTGGGTGTGGTTTGGGCTTTGCTTCTGTGAAGACTGACAGCCTTGGAGACCCTGTAGGCAGTTCCACTCTGTCCTCTAGGGGTGCTGTGGGTCAGAATGGACTCCACGGCAGTGGGTGTGGTTTGGGCTTTGCTTCTGTGAAGACTGACAGCCTTGGAGACCCTGTAGGCAGTTCCACTCTGTCCTCTAGGGGCGCTGTGGGTCAGAATCGACTCCACAGCAGTGGGTGTGGTTTGGGCTTTGCTTCTGTGAAGATTGACAGCCTTGGAGACCCTGTGCTGAAGTTCCACTCTGTCCTCTAGGGGCGCTGTGACTCGGAGTCCACTTGATGGCAGTCGGGTTGTGTTGGTATTGATATGCTTTCCATCATCTGCCACTGACTTGTCTACACCAGAACACCAGGTGGCAATGAAGAGTCAAAGCTGTTTGCTTTCTGAGCACAAACTTCTTTTTGTCAATCATGAAGGCTTATTAAGTAACACTGCTACACTTTCAGGAGGTCTGGTGGCGTAGTGCCTAAGGCACTTGACTGGTAACCTGAAGGTTGGTGGTTGAAACCCACCTGCCACTCCTCGGAAGTAAGATTGGAAAAGCTACTTCTGTAGTGATACCGCCTCAGAAACAAAAGTAGGGGTCGCTGTGAGTCCGATGTGACTCGCGGGCAGGGAGTTGGCTTTTATTTTTCTGGTTGAGCCTTCAGAGCAGTCCTCCTGTACCCGGCAATGGAGAGCTCGCATGGCCTCCGTCCTCGCTACAGCGGGTGGCGCTTCCTGGTTTGTGCAGCATCGTGCACATGAGGCAGGGCCCTTCGTCATCAGCTCCTCAGCCTCCTGCTGCCTTGCCCCTGGCCCTCACTCCCTACCCTCTGCCCAAATACTTACGTATTTATGTAGCTTGTTCCGTTTTTCTTCTGTTTCTTTCCTCATCCATAAGTTAAGACTTTAACCCAAAGCATAGGCATAATATGTTTCCCAACAACCCAAAAGAAACAAGAAGGAGTCAAGAGCCTCGCATGGAGTTAGAGGAAACCAGAGGAGTTCCTTACACCCCTCTTTGTCACCTGTAACCCCCCGAGCTTGGAGTCAGATGGGGGAGCAGAGTACTTGTCACCTGAGAGGCACCCTGAACGGCGTCCTGTGGCCTCCCACATAGAGTTAGCAGGCTGCGCAGACGCCGGCCCAGGGCTGTACTGTTTGGGCCCTCGAGTGCTGCTCTCAGAGAAAATACCACAGGCGGGTGGCTCAAACAAGCAGGCACTTAGTCTTTGTCCAAATTCTGGAGGCTAGAAGTCCGAGGTCAAAGTGCTAGCTCTCGGGGTGGGGTGAAAACCTCTCAGCCTTGGGCTTCAGCTCAGCCTCTTGCTCTGTGCCCAATGAAGCTAGATTCTTCTCTCCACTCAGGCAGCTGCTGGCTGCTGAGGCTGCCAAACCCAAGGTCAACAAATCAAATGGCACAGTCCCAAGATTACTAAACAACATGTCAGGCCACTAGTTCAAGTCCAGAGACAGTTCCAAGATCAGCAGGCAACATGGCAGCCTGCTGGGTGAAGACTTGGCTACATGCGGGGTCCAAGCGCACCAGAAAGCTGCAGACCTTCTCCAAAGCTTCTCCTTATATACAGGAAGCTGAATACATCCCAAAGGCAGCTACTCAGCTGCACCAGTAGATTCCAGCCTTGGAGTTCATTACCAGTCTCTTCATGGGGAATCGCCACATCCATCTGCCCGGCCACTCAATCAGGCCCAGCCAAGTTGACACACAACCTAACGACCACATCTATTAAACGCTTTATGCATTTTAACTCCTTTTCTCCTCACACTCATTCTATAACATGTGTACTGTTATCATCTCCACTACCCACAGAAGGTGGTAACTTGCTAGTTCTACAGTAGAGGCATTTTCTGAGACAATAGAGAGAATGTTCCACTTCTTCAAAAGTGTGGGCTTTTCCAGTCATCACAACACCCTGTTTCTTTCCTTCATTTGCCTTTTAACAGCCATTGACAATATTCTTTATTTAGATGTTGTTTATCTGTTTCCTGTACTAGAAAGTAACTCCACTGAGGGCAGGGTCTTTGTCTCAGCTGTCTTGTTAGTATTAGAATAGTTACAGGCACATAGTAGGTGCAGTAGTAGGTATTCTGTATGGACGTATATAGACGCATCCATCTATCTATCTATCTATAAATCCAAACCAAAAAAAAAAAAAAAAAAAAAA